TGCCTGTTGGCTGGGTGCTGTGGGTATAGCACATCAGAGACTTGTGTTGAGTGGAAGGTGGGGTTTCCACACTTGTAACCTCAGGGTAGGTGCCAAGATGTGCTTTAGACTCCCCATGCTAATCCTTTCGCGCTGGGGGACAGTGCAGGGAGGCCCATGTCTCTCAGAAGCTACTGCCAGCTCTGCCTGGAGAGCAAGTGTCATCTCCTTGATGGCCGGTCATTAAGCTGGACTCTGCAGTGCTGAGGGCAGGGAGCAGGTCCCACTGAGGCTGCTGAGGATGAGTGGTGCAGGTGGAGCTCACCAGCCACGAGACCTTCCAGCATCCCTGGATGCTGTGGCCGCATCTCAGCTTCCTGGGAAATTAAGGCTTGTGTCACATTCTTTTCACCGAGCTTGGCTAGCAAACAGAGGTGACTGAATTTTCTAATTCAAATGGCATTTTATTACTCAGTGCTAAATGCTTTGTAGTAATTGGTTGGTGACTGTTCTTTGATTGAGAGGGTGGGTGGCCTTATGGCCTGAGGGAGGAGCCACAGCCATGGCCCGGACCACCTGCTGGAGTAAGGTGGGGTCTATTCCGGTTCTCAGGCAATTTGAGTGCCCAGGTCCCTGTTTCTGTGTTTGGTGCAGTTTCCCGTGGTGAGAGCTTCCCATCATGTGAGGCTGTATCAGGTGCCCTGTCTGGTGTAAATTTCAAGAGCAAAGTTGGTGAAGCATCTTAACACAAACTAAAGGAAGGATTCCTGTCTCTCTCTCTCTTTTTTTTTTTGAGACTTTAGAGTCTTATTGTTTCACCCTTGATAGAGTGCTGTGCCGTCACAGCTCACAGCAACCTCAAACTTTTGGGCTTAAGCAATTCTTTCGCCTGAGCCTCCCAAGTAGCTGGGACTACAGGCACCCACCACAACGCCCAGCTTATTTTGGTGGTGGTTGTCATTATTGTTTGGCAGGCCCACGCTGGGTTCGAACCTTCCAGCTGTGGTGTATGTGGCTGGTTAGCTGCTGAGCTACAGGCACCGACCCTCTGTCTCTTATTTTAATGGCACTTCTGTCTTGTTGTCTGGTCCTTGATGTTCTGTGATGACTATCTCAGGGCCATGCTAGTGGCCATGTGCTAGAACATCTGAGTTAGACAGAAAATTATTACTTGTCATCTGCTGAGACAGGTTCTGAAGTTGAATTATGTAGATGTGTATAACATAAAATTTACCATTTTATCATTTTAAATGTATAATTTAGTGGCATTAAATAAATTCACCTTGTCCCATCATTACCACTATTTACAGAACTTTTTTCATCATCCCAGAGAGAAACTCTGCACCCACTGAACTGACCCACCTCCACCCAGACCCTGTCCTCCTCCTGGGTCAGTGATCTGTCCCCAGGCCCTGGGACTTATGTCCTCCCCTAAGTCAGAGATGTGTCCCAGACCCTGGGATCGCTGTCCCCCTTCCCCACTCCCCGTGTCAGTGATGTGTCCCAGACCCTGGGACCTCTGTCCCGCCTCTCCACCCTCCGTGTCAATGATGTGTCCCAGACCC